CCCCAAAACCCCAAAACCCCAAAACCCCAAAACCCCAAAACCCCCAAAACTGTTGTTCACAGAATCAGTATATTATTATTCTATTTTTCATCATGATGAGACACTTTCTCATCTTCTCTGTCTCTGTCACTTTCACTTAAATCTTGATCTTCTATCGTTCCATCAATATCTTGTAACTCCTTAAGATCCTGCTCTTCCTCAATAGGCTGCATATCGATTCCATTTTGGTACTGGTCAAATGTTGGATTTATATCATTTTGTTCTTTTCTCTCTTCAATTATATCTTTAATAATCTTATCAGTAAGTTTTAGTGAAGGGTCTTTGTTCATCTCATTTATGCTTCTATCAACATCAATATCACTCAGAGTTTTATTCTCATTCAGAAGTTCATTTTGAGTTTTATTCAGTATATCTTCTTTTTCTTCTTCTAAGGCAATTGGAGCTACCTTATTAGTCTTTGATTTGAGTAATCCTTTACTTGAATTAGATTTCTTGCTTTTATTCAAACTTGAAGTTGTTCCTGAAGGATTAAAGTCTAATGCTGGAAGATCTGCTTCATTCTCGGTTATGTATATATCCTAAAGCAAAATAAAGAATGGGCCAGGTAATTTAGCTTTAAGCTTACTGCTCTTTTATTTTGGCTAATTTCTTTATCTTCCTCATATTGGTCTTGATCTTGATGAATGACTCTAAGTTTGTTGACATCTCTCATTCTCATATAATTCTTTCCAAGTTTTGCTATTCCGAGTATTGGTAATAGATTCTTGTATTTAACTCTTCTCTTTAATCTTTCAGCAGTCTTCAGACAAGTGTCATAAGCGTCAATATATAATTCGGTTGTATTATCTATTCTAATGAATTTCTTTCTATTAGTTGCCTCTCTTTCAATTGCTAATTCATTGTTGCAAAGAAATATGGCATAATATGCTTTAGGTATTCTGACTCTTAAGATTCTCCTGAACTCCGAGATGTATAATACTCCCCAACAAATAAAGAAAAATATGTTGGAAAATAAAAATAGAAGAAACAAAATAAGTTTTTCACCGCTATTTAATGTATATCCGTTTCTCGTATCAAAAGCATCAATATTATTACTATCATCTGTGACAAAGAAAACTCCTGCTAATGCGCTAAGAGTTAATGCCATAATGGACAGAAATTCTAGTACATTAAGCTTCATTGTAGCATAGGGTTTAACCCAGATGTGAAGTAGAGCAGAAGCCATAAGTAGGCCAAATGCGAACTGACCTTGAACCTTCTTCCCTCAAAATCCAAAGAAGGCTCCTATTCCAATCAACAGCGTTTTCTTTAAAATGATGACTGTTTCCCAAATTCATGCATGCTTCAAATATCCATTGTATAAATATCCTATTTCCTCTTTAGTTTCGATTTTGTGGAGTTTTCTTTGACTTAATTTTACCTTAACAAAAGAGTAAGCTAGAGTTCCAAATACCCAGACAATACATGAAGGGATTCCAAGAATAAGGACATATGTGAGATGGCTTCCCTCGTAACATATTTCTTCTGGTTCCTTTTTAAGCCTATTTTCGTTGTTAATATCAGATCAATTAAACAATTCAAAAACTAACTCAGTAATTGAAGGGTGAAGGAATATCATAACTACAAGAATTGAGGCTAGAATCCTTCTTTTCCTCTGTTTTCATAAGAGTTGTTGTTTTTCTTCCCTTTCTTGATCATTATCAGCTTTAACTTTGGATTTGTAGTATATATAAATAGAATACCAGAAGATCAAATTTAGTAGAATAACAAGTACGGGTAGGATACAAGCTATTATTACTCTAATAAAGAAGAGAGGAATTGTGTTAGCATCCAAAGAAGAATCAGTCCTTTTATCAATAAAGCAATCGAAAGATATAAATTGTTGTGGAGCTTCAGCAACTGGCTCTGCATTCTGATAAATTAACATAAAATTATCAGGCCAATCAAGATCAAGACCATAAATAATTACTAGCATTTGTACATGATTAAGAATAATTCTGTTGTAAACTGTAGCAATGTTTCTTTTTCTTCCAGATCCTTGAATTGTAAACTTTATTAAAATAATAATGACAACGACCATAAAGAATAAGAATCCTCCAATTCTTATCGCATTAAGAATAGGATCAGGGCATTTTCCTCATTCAAAATCTGCAATGCTACTATAATCGGGAGAACATAAAGATCAAGTAATTCCCATGTAACCTTTTTGTCATTCACCAAGTAAATCTGGAGTTTCCTCTGAATATCCAAGTCAAGCTCCCGTGTTTGGGCATTGAATAATAGAATCAGTCATGTTGCTAGCTCTCCAAAATCCAGCTTTTGGTACAATTTTATTACCTCCGAGACATTGGGCATAAGAAGAAGGACATGGTATACATGTTGTTTCGCTTTTAGGAGGAACAAGAAGATAACCAACATCAGCTTCTCATTGCTCTCACCCTCCATCGTCTAGGAATGCTTCTCCACTCTCTCATTCTCTGAAATTTGCCTTCATTGAAATCGATCCATCGCTAAGATTCTTTGATTCATAATAATCAACATTAGAGGGACTAGTGGAATCTATTAATTCTGTTGTGAACATTATAGTAGTTGACTCTCCAGGCTCTGCTGTTGCAATTAAATTGTCTATAAACAGTTAGATTGGATTTATCTTTAAAAATTAAAACAAATAGCTTTAGCATAGTATTTTCTACTAAAGATTTTAATTAGTCACCTTGTAAATTAAATCTAGCAATAAGAGAAGAAGATCAACTTAATTCTCAGTTTTATGAATGGTAAGGTGAATCAAAGATTATGAAGTTGAGAGACCTAACAACTCCTTTTAGTGATCTTTATCATGGGCTACTAACCAATATAGCTAAAACTTACTTATATTAAAAAGACCGTTCTTTACACTAATGGTGGTAGTAAATGTAAGGAATGGTGTATAAGTTTCGTTCCCTGTTATTCCAGTAACTGATGCTTGTAATTCTCCTTCATTTAAGTGTTTTACAAGGTTGTCATACCCATCAAAAATTCCCAGATAGACAGTTGGCAAGAGACCCCCTGGTTGACAATCATTTATGGTCGAGTTTGGGTAAGGATCTCCAACTGATACACTCAAGTCTCTCCTATTTCTCGAAATATATGAATTATAATATTCAGCAGAAACAGCTTTTAAATATGTCGGAACTCCAGCAATATCGTCTCCATATTCTGTAGCTGTATTATTAGAAAATTGGGCTGTTTGGATTCCTGTTGGTTCATAATAAGTCCAGGAAATACCTCCTCCAATTGTGTGAGATTTCATATTCTCAAACAAATCTCCATTGAAATTAAGTTCTCAACCATTGAGAGTGCACTCGTAGTAAACTCCTGCTCCCCCGCCGGTTCCAAAGCTTTCACATCCATCAAATGTATTATTCTGAAGTCCTACAAGAATCTCTCCTGGAGCTTTAGAGTCTCCGAAGATGTCATCAACATCTTGTCCGTTTACATGATCTTCAATGGTGAAACTTCCACTTGATGCTCTTAAGTTTCTAAAAGTATTATTTTGTGCAGTAATTTTTGTAGTTGAGTCTACCCAAATACCAGCTCCATTTCTAATGAGCGAGGTGTTTGTAGTCATATAATTACTTGTTTGCTCAAAAGTAGAATTTTTAATTAAAACAGTACTCTCAGATGAGTCGATAAATTGTGATGGGCTGTCACTCTGGAAAGAACTATTATTTATTTCAAAAAGATCGTTAACTAAGATCATTCCAATAGCATCTCCACTTCCTGCTTTGTTATTAATGTAAATATCATTTGTTGAGCTGTAAGATGTAATCGAATAGCTAAAAATAGCTCCACCTCCTGTTTTTGCTCTACAGTCAATGAAAGTATTATCTTCACTTGTTAAGCTTGAACTGAAAGAATAAATAGCTCCTCCATCCCTAGCTATGCCTTTTGTAAATGTGCTGCCTCTAATTATACCAACTCAGAGGAACAAATAAATGAATCCTCCTTCTGAATCTTCATTATCAATAGCTGGCAAAGCATTATTTGAGAAGGTAAAATTTTCAAAAGTAATTGTAGATGAGATCCCATAAATATTTTTGTTTCCGTCGTTAAACACATTGTCTCGAAGGAATCCATCTTTAAATGTTATTTCGTTAAATAGAAGATATAATAAAATTCCTTCAGAGCCAGTCACTGTATTGTTTAAGAAAGAACTTCCTTCCAAAGTTCCTGGGGCTGATCCTTGAATTATGGACCCAATAGAATTTGCTTGGGTTGCAATATTTTGCTCAAAAACTGAATTTATATCATTGTACACCACATTAAGCTCTAAATAAAATACAGCATCTGTTGGAGCCTGATTTCCCGAGAATATTGAGTTTTCAGTATTAACAGAAATTTCATCTCTTCCAAAAATAGATCCAGCTCTTTCAAAAGCTATGTTATTTATAAATCTAGAGGTTTTCAAAATAAGGTGAGCATCTGAAGAAATACTAAAAACTCCTCCTCTTTTAGCCACATTATTAGTAAAGTTGCAACTTTCAAAATTAGCAGTCATACTATTAAATTTCATTACACTTCCTTCTTCAATCAGATGATAATTTGAGAACGTTGAATTTAATACCTGAAAATTTCCTCCCATAGATGCATCAATTGATCTTGACTTGTCAAAAGTAGGAGATCCACTAGTATCAAGAGGACTTCTTGAGAAAGTTGAATTGATAATTCTGATAGAACAAGTTGCACATGAGCTGATTGTAATGTCTGATGCTGATGGCCCTTCATTGTCTAACATATCTAAATCTAACAGATCCAATGTTCCCCCATTAATAATGCTTATTACACTGACCCCAATTCCAATATTGTTTCTTGCACTCAGAGCAATCACTTTTGCAATTATATTTGGAATATCAAACTTAACAAGAGAAGAGAGTCCTTTAGACATTGTTATATTCATGCTTTCAAGAGTGAAATGAGGCCCTGAAGTAGCAGTCACAGAGATTTCATTATCTGTTTTTACAAGAAGAGCACTTCCTTCCACTCCTCCAGTACTACTGAAAAATCCAACATTATTTAAAGTCACAGAATGGTCTGGTCTTAAAATAGATACAATTGCGGGAACTTTTGTGGCTGTTCCATTTTCAGTTGGTTTTGTAATTCCATACTCTGTAAAGTTGGCATCATCAATATATAAATCTCCATACTTGTGAATTAAGGACCCAGAGTCGTAGTTGTAAACATTTCGTGAAGAAAATTTAGTAACAGTAAGATTCTGAACACCAACTGTGTTAGTAGTAAGATCATATGGTACATGGATAAACATTCCGGCATAATTATTTTGAGCATAATAAAAGATCGAGTCTTCAAAAGTAATATCGTTTAAAGAGAAGGTTTTAATAATGTTAGCTCCTCCTACATAAAATACAGGAACTGAAGCATAATATTGTGTTGAATTTGAAGTCTGCATCCAGAAGATTAAACTGTCGGCAAGTTTTAATACATTAATATTATAATCTCCAAAAAGACCAGTAATATTGGACACAGAGAGGTTATCTATCATTACATTTCCGTATGTATTTATGAAATACATAAACGCTCCAAATTCTGCCACTTCATTATCAAAACCGTTAATAAAACCATGATTATGCACACTATTATTAACCACATGCACATGGTGGCCATAATTTACCTTTATAAACCCATAACTATTAGGAGCAAGGCTGTTTCCATCTCATTCCGATACTCCCCACTCCGCAAAACCTACACTCTCTTCCCACAGAAAAGAGTTTTCAGCGTACGTTCCTGAAAACATTGAGTTATTGGCAAATATGTTATCTCTGATCAGTACTTTTAGCAACCCGTCCAGCTCATAAGTTGAATTCATACCAACTCCCATGTTCATTGTAGCTTTGTTTCCAGAGAAAATAAAGGTATAGTTGTAATCTATGTCAAGAGTGTAGGTGTCATATGTATAAGTGAAAGTGCTCTGAGTAGGTAGAGACATGTCTGCAATCTGTTCATTTGTTAAAGAAGGCTTGAAAATATCTCCTGTACTTGTCAAACACATAATTTTGATCAATGAGTTTGCAGAAGGGCTTGAAACAAGTTCAGTAAAGATATTGTTTGTAAATATTATTCCTTTACAAGGAAGCGACGTCCACGTAGCAGGATCTGAGCCTTCAAATGAGGCAGAAACTTTCTTATGTATTAAAAATCCATTTGAAAAATACATCGATCCAAATTTGTTAACTGTGTTGCTATCAAAAATTATAACTGAGTCTTCGTATTTGTTGCCTATATCAAGGTTAAAGCGTTTATTACTGGTAGTATTAACTATAGAATCGTTTAAAAACAACTGTAGAAATATCTCAACCACCTCACAGAAAGTTTTAAAGTAACCGTCGATAATCCCACAGCTCCACTATCTTATAATTTTGAGGGTGCTTCATTGCTTTTCAGCTACATAGCCTTTCCTTTAGCTCTTGATTATAGATTAGGTTTTAAATTTTTCCTCAACAAGAGCAAACTCTAAAAAATAAGAAGGAAGACAAATAATGTTTCTTCTTAAACTATTTAGAATTGTTAGGTTTTATATTTTGTGGTGGGCATTTGCCCTTTAATCTTATAAACTTAGAGTATCCGGAGTTATAACGTACCTTTATTGATGTAAGCGAGCGCTCCAGCAGTCACGATAGATTCAAAATTATTGTTTGCTACAACGATGTCTCTTCTAAAAAATTCAAAGAAATTCTTACTCAATATTATCCAGGAAAAAGAAATAGATAACCCTAAAAGTATCACTATCTCCATAGATGTCGTTGTATTCTTGAGAGTAATTAAAAATGCTTCAGTATTGACCAGTTGAAGTAATTCTGTTTCGTATATCTGAAAATGTATTATTCATAATATAAATCGGCCCATCAAACTCATCGAAATGGAATATATCTCCTATGTGTTCCATGCCGTTACCTCCATTTGTTTTTCCTTCAAGATTAGTGATAAATTCTGCGGCGACAAATTTATAATAGTTGTGTTCTGATAAAGAATTCCCTACAAATTTAAGCTTGAAGCATGGAGTGGCTCCTAAACAATTAGTTGAATTAAAACTCACCTGTTCACGAATGATCTGTAGCTACTGTTTCTGGTGGGAGCTGGTTAATGTTATTCACAAATTGAGTAAAAACAGCATCAATGGTCTTTACATTATTCATCTGAGATAAAGGCTTCTTTTTGATGATCGAACCACAATTAGATAATCTGTTTATCTGAGTGTTTGTGATTGTAACATGTGCTTCAGTGTTTAAAAATATAAGAGCATTGAACTCATAAAACATATCATTAAAAAAACAATTGTCAATAACTAGTTCAGGTGGAGTAGAGGTCATCCCATAATCTGTATGATAAGGATGGAAGGTGAACATTGAATTCTTTTGTTCTCTATGGCACCATTCAGTAAGGTGATATCTCACAACGCATTCTTCATTTTGTGTTGAATTGAACTTACCAATCTGGTGAGCAGCAGAATCCCATTCACAGCATCTTTTCCTTCGTGTTAAGCAGTTATCAGGATCATTGTCTGGTGGAATCAAGCTATCAATCATTTCGAAATAGATGTATGAAATAGTAAGTTTTTGGGGTACGACAATCTATTAAATGAAGTTAGAAATTAAGTTATAATTGTAGAATGATTGGTCAAATTCAAAGATCAAAAATTTAGCCTCATAATCTATTTCGTAGTTTTTAATGGAGCATTGATAATGAATCAACATGTATAGAGACTGAAAATGCTACATTATGATAATTCTCAGACTTCTAATATCACTTGGGAACTTTAATCTATCAGGTGTTCAAAATTCAAAGATAAGGAAATAAAAATAGAGAAGAATGACACTATCAACATGAATTAAAAAATTCTTAGTAAATTTTTTCTAAGTTATTTACAAAATTTGGAATTTAGGATAGTAATTACTTTAACTACTCTCCTTAGTTTTAATTAAGGATAGTTATGACTAATTACAAAGATGAAATATCATAGAACTGCATTGGTTTTATATAAGTTTATTGAAAAATATTTCAAGGTCTTTGTTTTGAAAAGTAATTAAGCCAATATTTTATGAAAAACCATCTAATAAGATAATCTCACAAGCCTAAGTATGGATTTTTTCAAATTATTCAAGAAAACTTATCTTTCCTTTCTTTTAAACAGGAGGCGACACTCAAGAGGCATTGTAAGCAAAATAATTTCTATTGTGATAAGAAAAGACCTTAGAATTAGAAAAGATATAAGTTCTTAACCTACAATAAACAGGTAGATTGACTCTGTAATTATTGTGATAAATAATTGCTTCAAAAGACAAAATTTAGCTCTTAACTTGAGGAATATTAACAAACTAGGCATGCAGTCTTTCATTTGCGAGCAATAAGTTTAAAATTATGATAAAAATTCTTAGATTACTTACATTTCCGAATGTTATTCCAACCTTGTTATATATTTTAACATATTGGAATTCATATGGCATAATACATTCAAGAGAATCAAATTGTAAACCTGATAATATTAATCAATAATATGGGAGAATTTCTAAATGATAGTCTGCAGTGTAGAAATCTTTTTTATTTGGAACATATGCAAACTCTTCATAAAGCATATAATGATCACCTTGAAATACTCTTATTTGCACATGTATTTGAGAACCATTATTGAAAGTTGTGTAAGGAGCCAAATATTCTTTCACTCGAGAAATAGAAGTCATCAAGTTAGTATCAGGAAATGCAGTTTCCCCAGTACGATCGCTAAAAGGTACTGCGTAATTAGTTGGCAGATTGCCCACATAAAATATAATTTCTTCATTGTCAGGTAAAGGACCTTTATCTTTGCAAGTTCCTTTATAAAGCCCATCTAAATATTTATTAATAACTCATTTAGTTCATCCAGATTCCCCTGACTCGACTCAATTTTCTCAAGAAGAATGACAAGTAGTTCATGTCTTTTTCTCAACTACGTTACCTATCTTAGTTGAGGGATTTGAAACTTCAACAAATTGGTCAGATTCTCATTCACTAACTCAACTCGATCCATCTTGTGATATAATAAACCCAGAATCTCACAAATCACATGTCCCAACTCCACCAGAGCAATCTAATCAGTTTGTAGGTCAAGCATCTCACACAGTTGATGAAGATAATACAAACCCAGGTTTTCAAGCAATGCAATCAGTAGCAGAAGGAGAAGCTCAATCCATTCAATTACTCACTAAGCAAGTTTCTTCAACACAAGTATTTGAATCAAGGACGAATCCCTCATTTCATCTGTTTCATGTATTTTTATCAGCATTACAGTCGTTACAATTACTCATTGCTCAATCATCTCCTCATGACCCTGCTGATAACTCTTTGCCAACTCAAGAAGTGCACTCAGTATCAGTACATGTAGAGCAATTAGGATAAACAGTAGAACAATCTTGGCATTGTTGCCATCCATTATCAATAGTCTTGATCACACTAGTGAATACTGATGACCCTAGAAATTAAACACAATATTTATACCAGTTTCACAGCTAACTCAACCGACATCGTCTACTCAGTTGGATCAATTTTCACCTCATCTATAACATTTCCTTCTGTAACTATCAGCAAAGAACTTCGATTTTTCTGTGTAGGTTGTCATTGTTACGAAGCTACAGTCTGTCACTCAAACTCTAAAATTTTATTTCTCAAAGATACTTAGATTCTCCTTGGGCTATGAACATCGCTTCTTGGCAAGATAGACAGCCAGTACTATCACAAGTCCAACAACCCGGCCAAACACGGTATCACTTGGTACAAGTGCCACCTTGATCAACTTCATCCCATTCTCATGCTTGTACTGAGAAAGGTAATAGGATTACTAACATCAGCAGTGTCAATCTCCGAACGTCTGGAGGTCTTTGTTTTCTATAACTAACAACTTCGTAATTCATTTCAAACCCAAGCACACCCTACACAATTCGGACTCTCTACCTCTACCTCTACCCCACATCCCCATCCTCCCTCTCGTCCCCAATCCCTCAACCCAGCCCTTACATATTAAGGATCTCCCAATTGGTTCTCATTTATTATTATAAAATTCAAATTATTCTTACAATAAGGGGTTTTGGGGTTTTGGGGTTTTGGGG